TTGCAAACAACTTCTGTCAGAAATATGATGCATGTTACTTAGAATACTATTTTTCTTCATCAACTTTTTAGGAAAGGAACTGAAGCATTATATGCTTAAAACTAATGTTGTTTCCTTGTACGTTCCTCCAGGTGTTCCAACAGTTCCATTATTACCACCACAAGTCAGTCAGTCCCTTACCTCTGTGCCACCAGTTAACCCAGCAACTACATTACCAGGTGAGTTGGTAAAATGTCTTAAAACATTTTCTGAAACAAAAATCTTAAGGGAGCAAGAGAAGAGAGCTGTCTTTTCCACTGCTTTTTTGGGTGTGGGAGGGTATAACTTCATGCAAGTGATGCATTTCACGTTAAAGATCTCCATACAACTTCTCCAATGTTAGGATTTTTTCCTCAGAGCAGGTGAACAGCATGTCTTTAGCACAGAGGAGTGAACTGGTAACTAAGTTTACAATTATTTACTTTTTAGCCACCCCCCACCGCACAATAGATGCAGCATTCAGGATTTCTCAGGGAGGTATTAGGGCTTTGCACCATTTCTTGAGTTGATACACTTACTTTCCGTACTTCATAAATTGTATGTTACAAAATACTTTTGCAAATAGCTTCAGTTTCTGGTTTGTCCTTTGAAATCAGACAAGGTGACAGGAGAAATACCTGAGAAGGCCTGTCTTGCCTATTTCTGCATTCGTCTCATCCATAAGACCTCTACTTCAGGAAACTCCTTTTTGATACTTAACTTGATCATTCTTCCTAGTATAAATAGAGGGCTAACGATACAGAACTGTGTGTGCAGTTACTGTTTCCGAATAATTTAGTAATTTAAAGTGTTATAACAAAAGTAAGAGCCTGTCTATAAAATGGTGTGCATTGTTTCCTGATAATAATGAACATTTCAAGCACTGATACTCCAGAATTATTCACGGTGGATAAGGATTGTCTAGGATTTTGCCATGTGGTTGGTGCACTGGTACAAAACTCAATTGTGCTTCCAAAACATTCAAGGAGTTGTGTTTTATGTTTTGTATGCTACAATGTGAGTAAAGATGTGTCCAAAAGTTTTAAGTCATGCTTGGAGGTGTGCTCTCTAACATAGAAAAAAATGTGTAGTAGAGCTAAGTGCTTAAGGGGCAGAGAGCTTTAATCTTGCACTGCTTAGATAAAATAGCAAACTACTTAGAAGTTCAGCTTCTGTTAATGTCCTCTTCCTCAGCCACTATCCGCTCCTTACCCAGAATCTGCAAATACGAGTTTTCCTTTCACTGTGTTCTCTGAATAGTATCATTGATTTTTTTGAAAGTTATTAGAATATTTCTTGCAATTCGCATGGCCATACTAGTGAAATTGTAAGTGTTAAATATACAGGAGGTTTAAAATCGGAGTGAATTTATGTGAATTTCAGTTTTTTAAAAATTTTTCAAAAGTTCGAAGTTGCTTATGTCTGAGCTGAAAGCTCTTTGAGTCAGATTCTGTCAGCCTTTGTGGCTGATTAATTCACAGGTACAAAATCTGTGTACAGTGGTCTTGCTTTAAGACTTTCCTCCTCTCCATCTTATTACTGTAATAACAAGAGTTTATTTCAGAGTTAGACTTCTCCGAGGTAAACACAAAGTAGGAATAGATCTCTTGTCCCAGAAATGCAGCTCTTTGAAGTCGGGAAATTGAGCAGTGGAAAGATGCTCCCTGGCAAACACAGTGATAGAAGAGCGTGTGTTGTGCTCATCATACATTTCTCTTCTATTTTCAGTCCTTCCTGACTTTGAAGGTTACTTTGTCTTGCCTTTTCTATATATCTTTGTGTTGTTACCAGCTGAGTAGAAAAGACTAATAATAGTTAATCGGTATTCCAGGACAGAAATACTGTGCATTTCATCCTATTATTATCTTCTGCCATTGAAATTAGGAATTAAGGGTTTATGGTACAGTGCTGCAGTGGAATTACTACCTTTGTTAAAAGCTGAACTCATGAGGAATGCAAACCTACCAATTCCTTGAAATAAGATTCCGCTTTCCTCAGAAAAATCTGAAAGGTTGGGATTCTGCACTTGCTAGTCTGGACAGTATGAAATAACTTTAAATGATCAATAAGATCCCAGAAACAATTAGGAAAACAAAACAGTTTTAAGTTTTCAGCAGTAACTCTTCCACTCTTCTCTTAGGTCTGATGCCATTACCAGCAGGGCTTCCCAACCTGACTGATCTGTCCAAACTCAATTTACCTGCACCACACATCGTTCCAGAAATCATACAGCCTGGTATGTGCTTCTGCAAACTGAAACACTGTAATAATGGGTCTCTCCTCGACGATCCTTAACACTCTCATTTAGAGCGTTCTGGTGGAGTCTTGAAGAGGATCAATTGAATATTTGCCTGAGATGGGAGTTGACAGTAGTGCCCAGATTAGGTAGACAGGGAATGTTTTTAGATAAACTAATTCTGAACTGGTGTCTGTATTCAGTTCTTTCATCTTATATTACCTGATTTATGACCTCAAAAAAGTCTGTGCCAAGAATGAAAGCGTATGGTTTTATGGGTAGAAGGAAATATGAGGTGTTTCCTTGTATGCTAAATGAGGAGATGGAAGCACCTTGATTGAACGCCAGAAGTATGAACTAATAGTAGATTCATGGCTTTGAATAAAAACTGCTGCAGGTGGAGCAAGCAAAAAGAAATTGGAAGCTTACACAGAGTAAGATTCTTGTTAACTTCTTGTTTCTGGCAGTTTCAGTGAATGCCAGAAAAATCTAATCAGTATTAATGATTATTAATAGAGGGGGTCCTGGTGGGCAGCAGGATGACCATGAGCCAGCAATGTGCCCTTGAGCCAAGAAGGCCAATGCCATCCTGGGGTGTATCAGGAGGGGTGGTTGTAGGGCAGAGAGGTTCTCCTGTCGCTCTACTCTGCCCTGGTGAGACCACATCTGGAATATTGCGTCCAGTTCTGGGCCCTCAGTTCAAGAAGGACAGGAACTGCTGGAGAGAGTCCAGCGTAGGGCTACAAAGATGATCAAGGGAGTGGAGCATCTCCCTTCTGAGGAGCGGCTGAGGGAGCTGGGGCTCTTTAGTTTGCAGAAGAGGAGACTGAGAGGAGACCTCATTCATGTTTATAAATATTTAAAGGGTGAGTGTCACGAGGATGGAGCCAGGCTCTTCTCGGTGACAAACAATGATAGGACAAGGGGTAACGGACACAAACTGGAACACAGGAGGTTCCACTTCAATTGGAGAAGAAACTTCTTCTCAGTGAGGGTGACAGAGCCCTGGCCCAGGCTGCCCAGAGAGGTTGTGGAGTCTCCTTCTCTGCAGACATTCAAACCCCGCCTGGACGCCTTCCTGTGTAACCTCATCTGGGTGTTCCTGCTCCGGCAGGGGGATTGGACTGGATGAGCTTTTGAGGTCCCTTCCAATCCCTGACGTTCTGGGATTCTGTGATTCTGTAATGCATTAATACCTAATCCTATGGGGAGGTAGAAGCAAACTTGATTTTTTTCTGAAATCTGAAAAGTATCAGGCTTGAAACTAGCCTGCTGAGTCAGTGCTGCATGTGTATCGTGCTCACACTGCATTCAAAAAGCTTCCTCCCCAAGAGTAAATAGGAGATTGGGGAAGGTGAAAAAATTAAGCAAACAGAGAATCTCTCCAGACGTGTCTGTGGTATGCAGCAGCTCACTGCCTGCCTGTTTTCTTTTTCTTTTTCCTCTCCTTAGGTTTGCCACCCCTTCCCTCCTTGCCGCCTCTGAATCTAATGGGAATAACACCTCTGTCCATGCCACCCAAATGTGTTCCTCTGCTTCCTTTGGTCACAGAGGCATCTACAGTGCCTACAGATTTGCTTCCCTCCATCACTCAAGCCGGAGGCTTTTCCGTTGACCCTGGCACTACTGTAAATGTAGAACAGACCTCTACGCTCACCTTGGATAGCGCTACCCCGACATCTAAGGCAGTTATTGTTGAAAAATCAAGTGAATCCTCTGCAGTTAATGAGAAAACATCTGGAGTCACAGATACACAAGCTTCTGAATCATAACTCCAGGTCACTCTGTTGGATTGGCTTGGTATTTATTTAGCCATGGGATACATATTTGAAGAGCAAGCTGTCATTAATTTCATACTAGTTTGTACTTTAATCTTTAGGAGTCCTGTAAATAATATGGAGGTATAATAAAAATAAAAGGGGGTTTATAAAGTGCGTGTGGTGGGAGGGGAGGAAGAGTACTTGTATGTAACCAAAAAAAGTCAAGGTGGTAAATAGAATTCCACTGCCAAACCTGGAGGTACATGTTTTTAATATAGGCTGACAGCCTTAGCCTGCTAGGCCTGTCCTTGCTTATAATTAGCAGTTTTTGCTTCTGATAGAAATGAAGCGGTTCTTGCGTGTGACATTTACATACCATAGTTCTTGTTCTTTGCAAGTATCTTGTTACTACAGTGGGGATGAGAATGTTTAGTCCGAGTTGTAAATTTTAACACTGCAGAACTTCCACCTGAAGGTATTTCTATTAAAGTTGCTGAGTGACCTGTTAACTGACATCTTGTTATTCAGCTTGTGCTCAAATCTTATTTCAAGCTCTTGAGAGATGCTCGAGCCGTGTTTTGTGACTGCTGCTGCGTTGTTTCACACACCCACTGTAAAATGGCATTTGGAAAGGAACACAGGAAATGTTAAATGTAGCACACAATTTGGCACTTCATGACTACTGTAAGACAAATTAATGGATTAAGCATACATACAGCAATAAACTCCTGAAATTTTATCCTTTGTGTGACAAAATAGCACATTGATTTGTTTAATGCTAACCTCTCATTTAACTGTTTTTCGACTCAGCTCTCTAGCACAGATCTGTGAAAGGGCTCCTCTCCAGAGGAATGGATCCAAGAGGGAATGCCAGACTTCTTCATGGCAGGCAGGATCAGCACGAGCTGTTAGATCTGTTGCAGCAATGAGTCATAAAATCTGCCTGCATATGATTCATACTTGGCTTTTTAAGTTGATATTCAGGATTTAAGTTGTAGATTAACTGTAGATGATACGCTTACATGAACTGGTGCGTGCACTGTACTCCAGCCTTCGCTCCTGGTATCAGATACAGTTGATGTGGAAATCTTCTGTACTGCTCCAGTCCTTCACTACTACTGGGATTTCATTTACAGTTGTTTGCTACATGTGCAAACTTCAGCCATATCATCAGCAGACTGGAGCTCAAGTCTGTCTCAACAGCTCCATATTCCCTGTTGGCAACGCAGTGTGGCTGGTCGCTGTACGGAATAGCAGTTGCACCTCAATGCTGATCATAATGTCTCAAAGAATTATTCAAGTGGAAGCTTTATCTAATGCCTGTTGCCCTGTCTCATCTTTATCACTTAAATATTTGTCTTTCCTCTGCCCCACTACTGCACATTTCCTCATGACCTGTTGTGCCAAAAGCCTCTGTGTCAGTAAGACCTCAAATACTTTTTTTTTCTACACTGTGAGCTGATTTCTTTTCTCAGCTGCTTGGAGTGTGAAATCTCTGCCTTGTTAAGCAGGGGGCTCACTGTTTCTCAGAATGTATTTTTTATTTACCTTTGTAAATCCAGTGTCGCATACCTCAGAATTAAACCTTGGCATGAGAAGGATGTTCCCTCTTTTCTTTGCTGTATACAGAGAAAGTATGTTAGTACTGAGCTTTATAAAGCCTCACATGTCTAGCACTATTTCCTGTAACTTCCTTACGCATTTCCACAGCTAAAGTTTTTGGCATTATTATTTTCTTTATCTAACTTCCACCTGAAGATATTTCTGTTAATGTTGCCGAGTAACTTGTTGACTGACACTATTGTTTTTCCTTACCTAACCCAAGATCAGTAGAGAGAACGTTTGGTCACTTATCAAATTCAGAGCAATTGCTGATGGTAATCGGATGCATTGAGCTAGAATCCTTGGGTAGATTTTGTTCTCAGAGTGTGACCCTGTGTCCTTTGAAGCAGCATCTGAAGTTTGCTGGTGTGCTTCTCTGTTGTGCAGTTGTCTCTAGCAGCAGACAAAATAAGATGCTTCATCTGAAGTCACGCACTTCTGTTCAGAACGGACATTAAAATAGCTGACTTTATAGATCCAGCCTTTTGATAGGTGTGAGAGCAGTGGAAGTAAGGCAGTGTTTGAGTGTAACCATCAGCAGTTCTGCGAAAGATAACACGACTTCAGGTTTGGAGGTGATGCAGTGGTGCAGAATTTAAGCTGTAATCTCCCGGCTAAAGAGTCATAAACAGTGAGAAACCAAAACCTTACCACTTAAAATAGAAGGAAGGACCTTGAAGTCATGCTATTGCACTGTCCTTGTCTTTTAATTCCCTCAACTAGATTTAATGGAATTGTACTTTAATCACTGCTTAATTACTTATTTTTGGGGGAAAAGTAAGGAGGGATGAGGACTTAAGATCCTCCAAGGGACTGACAGCCCATGTAACCTTGTTTCCATGAGTTCATGTATTCAGCTGTTAATGAACTGTTACGAACAGGCATATTAGCTTCACTTAAAACATTGACACATGGAGTTCTCTAACAGATACTGACAGCAGACAAGAAGACAGATGTACCCTGAGCATCCCCAGCCTTGCACAGAGTTAAGAACGATTAATGTGTGCATGGCATCCTGTAAAACAAATGAGATGTTTCCCTGCTCCAGCGAAGGCTGCTCTGGGGGCAGTGCTGTACGGGATGTGTGTGTGTGTGTGTGTGTGTGTGTGAGACTGCTGGTGAGTGCAGGGCTGTCCACAGCTGTGCTGGAGGAGCAGGGAGCACAACTCGAAGAGGTGCGTATTTGGCAGCTTGAGGCTCTGCTGCTGCTCGGGGAAGCAGCTGCTCAGTCTGCGAGGTCAAGGCAGGAGTGGGGACAAAGCCTGAATGACAAACGTTTCACAGCCCCGGTGGGGTCCTGCAGGGCGCTGTTTCTGATCCCCTGCCAGCCATCTTTTGGATAAATCCTGTCCCACATGAGACCCCTGTCGCAACCGGAGCTCCGTTAGTTCCTGGGCATGGCTGCGCAGGGCCACGAGAGGGCGGGCGATCGCTGCTTTTTTGCTGAGTTTCCTCAGCAGGGAGGGCGGTTGCTCGGGTCCCGCCTCCCCTCCGCACCCAGCAGCAACGGTGGTCAAATGGGTACCGGCTGGATGCTGAATGACCGCGCTTTAAGGAGTTGCAGATAATTGTAAAACCGACTGGTTTGAAGGCAGACAGGGACTGAGCTTAAGCTGTTTCTAAATGCCAGGATTTTGCGGGCAGTTGCTGATTTAAGCCAAGCTAAGTGTGGGGCTGGGTGAAAGTTTGTTTTGAAGAAAGGAGATCCTTACAGGCAGGGACTCGTTTGAGATACGGTAATGCTGGAGGCCCAGGTAATGTTTCCAACCTCTCAGTGTGGTAAGCGCTGGTTATGGAATTAGGTTGAAGGGGACAGGATAAGGATCAGTGATGTGCAAGTGTGGCACCCTGTCTTCCTCAGTTATACACAGGCCTTGTCTGTACTAGTCAAATAAATGAATGTGTTCACAAGCGCTCCCTATCATGGCACCAAGTTCAGATTCTTTGGTTCATCGCTTGGAATCTTTAGATGTGAATCCTGTAAGAGTAGGCAAGAATCAGGCTGCAAAAAATGTTTCATTTATAAGAATATGTAGGTCACAACTAATTCATGCTTTGTAGATGTGCTCTGTACGTTCTTCATGGTAGTGCCAATGGCTTAATAGATATTTGCACAGCCCAGTACAGTGTCGTGCACTGTGCTGTGCCTTTTAGTAGTAACTTCAGCTCAGAAAGCAAAAACAAAGTAAGTCTTCAAGCTGATTTGCTTGTAACAGCTATGGCAGAACCTTTTTTTTGTTGTTTTTTTTTAGCTGTGGTACAATGGGGAGCCAATGCCTACCATAACACAGTTTTAAAGTTACTTAAGGTGCAAGAACCAATCTAAAAAGAAACTAAATCAAAAAAACAACCCAAACTGCCCCAACCAAACAGAAAACTTAGTTTAGCTCAGGTGAATCTCCAACAGCTCTGCCCCTGCAGCCCTGGCACAAGAGTTAAGGCATAGTAATTTGGCTAGAATTTGAAAAGAATATCTAAGAAATCTGGAGGTGGTGGATAGAGAGGTAGTAAGCTGAGCAAGGCATAAATACCTCCTTTTCCAGAAGCCTCGGTTCGTGTTTATCCTTAGGCCTTCTGAATACATTATGTTGCCAAGGTGCAGTCAGCACATGAGCGTTTCACTGGGGTAGATGACTGGTGTTCCTCAGAACAGCCTTTGCACATGGTTTCAGTTGCAAGATCGTACCAAAGTGCTGGGTTTGTGCTGTGCCACACTCGGCACATGAAACTGCATCAAGACTTGGAGTTCAAAGGCCAGAGCTGTGGCAAGATGTGGTATGTGGAGACCTGGTCTGGCTGAGGAGGGTGGGGTGCATGGTTTTGTTACCTTACAGTGGGAAACTGCAGTCCCATCTCTGCCCACCGGCCGCACATCTGCCCCTCTACTGCCCTTCCTTGCACCTGGAAAGACAGAATCTTGCCCTTAGAGGAGGCTGCAAACATTATTATTCTGCACTGACAAGCTGACCGTGACCCTATTAAATAACTGTGTTCTCAGCCTTGGAACTTGTATTGTGTGGGATCAAAAGGTATGTTTCATCCTTAGTTTGTGCACTGTAGTATTTTCACTCTCTCTGAACAGTTTCCTGTGTTGGGTTCACAGCTAATCCATCTTAATGCATTCCAGCATTGCTCAGCTCACCCACAAGAGAGCTTCAGAGACCACAGAGGCCAGGCTCACCTTGGGCAGCCGTGAAAGCCACCTCTGCCAACAAACAACCCATTTTAATAACAGTGCTCATCTGAGCTCTTTACTCTGCCAGCAAGTGGATGCATATTCACCTACTTTGTAGCTTAGGTGAGCTATGAAAATCCAACAGAAGCTAAAAAGAAAGAAAAACGTGAGTGATGAACTCAAGTCGCAAAGCCTACAGACAACATCAGAGGCTTGCCATGTAAGAAAAGCCTCTGCAACAGAACATTGCAGCATTAGCAAAAGCAATGCAGCTCTGAGTTTTACATCTGACAAAGGGTGCTGGATGTACCGGAGGTCGCCGAGGGTCAATTCATCTGGACCTTCTGGACAGAAAGGACATTATAGCGCTGCCCGGACCCTGCTCCCTGAGGACGTCTCTTCCCAGCCCTCCCCGTTTATCAGCCAACATCTGCTGGCAGCTTTCATGA